TGATATTTGTTTTTATTTCCACTAATTACCTTTGATTATGGTTGGGTACTGTTTTGGGATTCAGCACATTGGCCTCCAGGTTTCCAGAAAGGAATGTTTGATAAAGACTCTGGCAAGATCTTTCAACATTCTTGTTTTCTTCCTAAATTTCTGACTGCTTTTAAAATTTCTTTATACTGTTGACCAAAATTATTTCCACAAATTAATAATAATTAAAGGCAAATATAAGTCAGCCCCTTAGGTTGATCACACTAATTTATTATTCTGTAAGATTTATCAACTTCACATTTATTTACCACTGACTGTATTTGTCCATTCATTATTATGCCTCTCCAGTTCTGGCTGTACGTATTCTGATCAACTTTCTGTTATCTATTCATGTTGCTGTCATGGAGTTCACCTCACTTTCAGATCAGTAGCAACTGCAGTAAGCAATAAAAATATAATAGACTATTCTGATGACTAATCTTCATCAAATATTCTCTTTGATTCATAAAAAACACTTTTGATTCTTACATTTTTTTTCATCCTATGACATGACAAATTAATAGAAACTTCTGCGAAAGCTTATTAAGGTTTAATGGAAAAAAAAGTAGGATTCTTCTTTACCCATTATTTCTCTGATATTTTCACAAAATCTAAATTATTGTTTCTCTTTATAGGACCTGGTGCATTGGTTTAAAGTTGGCAGGAAATTCTGACCCACAAAAAAAGACTGTTTTAACTCACAAACTAATCATTTTCCATGTCAGCACAGGGAAAAAAGTGAATATCAATAATTAGAAAATATTGCAACTGTGTACATACAATGCTTTTCTAATACACAGAGAAGATCACTTTTTTTTTCCTCAGAGTAGAAAGAAAATAAGGTAATGCTAGGGATAAGTTATAGAATAATAATACAAAGTCAGAATTTCAAAAAGTTGGTAGCGTAGAGCTCCACTTGCCCATTACTGTAAGGATGGCATAGTGCAAAAAGATGTTTAAGAATGAGCTTCAGAAACATAGAAAACATCACTTGTTTTTTTGCATATGGAGGCTATACAGATATAATACTTACTAATTATTAGTATTGCCACTCTCCTGGAAATACAGTGCATGTGCATACTTAGCAATACCAGAACCATATTCAGAAGCATTTTCCAAACAGGTCAAGCAGATTTATCTCACACTGCGTGAATGGGCTTTCTGATGTCGCCCTTCTCTTTTCACTCAGTTTGTGGCACCAGAAATTCAGCAGAATTCAACAGAAAAGCATCCTGTGATTTTCAATTGAGGGTCCAAGCTAGGTAGGCAGTAGCTATAGCTACATTTTTGTTTATTAATTTTTTGTCTGTAATTTAAAGGTTACAATACATATAATGTCACCTTTTCATTGAGGCCAACTCAGAAACTGAGTGTCTGAAAGACTTTGAGTGTTTCAAAATTGATTTTCATATGCACATGCAGTATTTTTCATGTTACCAATTCACCTGCCTGCAAGAGGCAGAGCTGTTCACTAAATTCTTGATAACATCTGTTTATTTATTTTATAATGAAATATAATGACCTATGAATCTTTTCCAATTCTCTGAGAAAGAGACATAATAGATATATAAATATGTACCACCAAAATAGAGAACATACATAAATATACAAATGTGTCACTACAATGAAGATTATTTTACTTAGGTGATAAATTCCAAGCAAGCTAAGGGAACTAAGTACCCAAATCACACTGAATTTTAAGCACCAGAAACATACAAAATACAATGTGTAATATAATCCATTGGCTACAGATCTGTTTCTGAATAGCATATAAACTTCATCATGAAGTGCATTTTGTAACCACACAAAAATTATTGTGTGAGGATCATATGCCATGATCACCTAAAACGGCCAAGGATTAAAATAGAGGGCATAATGATAGCTGGAGAACTCAGAGCAAATACTGTTTCCTTCCACCACAGCTTTGCCTTTGGCTATAATAGAAAAGTGATTCCTTGAAGAACAAAGGACTCATGCTTTAAGCAACTACCGCCTGGGAAAAGAGAATGAGCAGAAGGAGAGAGGATTTGGAAACTCTGACCAGTTGAATTGACCTGATCAAACTTCCAGGAGTTAAGAAGTACCCCACAAAAGACATCAAAGCAGCAATTTGTGGAATACAGGCTTACTTAACTGATTTATTGGTGCCTGCTAAATATGTGTGACATCAGTGAGTGCAGGAATAGAGAAACAGAGTTAGAGAAGCATTGACAGAATTTCTGCTGTGAGGGGAGACTATATAAAAGACTGAGTCCTGAGGAAGATGAGCTTTATTGGGAGGTGTTGATTCAGATATGGGGAAAGGAACCAAGTTGGGGGACTACAGAGAAACTGAAGAAGAGCCCTGTGGCTTCTACTGCAAGAGACAGCAAGCAAATGAGTGCTCCCTAGTGCCTTAATGCTCCTGGGTGGACTGCCCATACAGCCTGGCCACGGAGCAGTAAGTCTGCATGGAGAGGAACACTGATAGCAGTCTGCATCCCACAAGGTCG